ATATATATATATATATATATATATATATATATATATATATATACATGTATATTGTTAGTTCGCCCCACAGACGCTTAAAATGTTAAAAATAGTGCAGGGTCTCCAATTTTTGATCTAGCGAGGTTTCTTTCTTTTCAAAATTAAAAAAAAAAGTGTACAATAACAATTACGCATTAGTTTTTTGAAATTTGGCTCCTCCACAGCTAATTTAGTTTTGTTTGATATAAAAATTTACGCCATTCACCTCAATAGGCAGAAAAATTATCCTTAAAATATTAAAAATATATTATCGATTCAGAAATATTTTTCGGGCTATTTTACATGAATGCTGCAATTTTTTATTAAAATAATAACGACATTAGCTGTGTAGGAGTTGCATTTCAAAAAACTAATTCGTAATTGTTATTACACACATTTTTTCAAAAAAATTTCAAACATTTTAAGCGTCTGCGGGGCAAACGAAAAATAAACAATGTATTTTTGCACTAATTATTCGTTTTTACACACATATAATCCATCTTCAATGTAGGAGAAATCTCATTCTAATAGTCTGTTTTAAACTCATAGTAGGTAGTCTCCCCTTAAGACCTCCATTCCTCATTATTTCAAGCGACGAATAGAAAAATATATTTATGATTTATAATGTTCGAGTGAATGAATATTCTTTTAATTATCGAAACAGTGCAACAAACGAGAATATATAATTTGGATTGTTGGAAATGGTTTGATTTAAGCTTGTCTGTGACGTAGAATTACTAAATTCATGTTATTTTTATTGAAAATATTTAAAGATTCGACAAACTCATTCTACTTCACCCCATTCTCATTATTTATTATGATAATATACCTTTTGTTATTGCAGCAGTTAGGGTAGTTTTTCCATGATCGACATGACCAATAGTACCGATATTGCAATGTGGTTTGTCCCTATTGAATACTTTCTTCTCAGCATAAAATCTCTGTTGTGTCACTTGCGGTAAAAATCTTTGTCCGCCGATTTGATTCCTCCGTTGCTGTAGGGGAAAAAAATTAAAATATAACAATTGCGTCAGTTCCTAACAATCGAGCGACGCTCATCCGAAATACTTACGCATTTTACAAAGTGACGGCTGAACAGGATCTGCTTGATAGTCCTGCGAATCACTAAAATTAATAAATCAATTTACTATCTTGAATAGCTTTTTCCTAGATGATCAGAGGGATTGCCCATAACCACACTCTCACGTGCAAATTCTCTTCACTCATATTGAAGTATTTGAACGTCAATAGCGCAAACATAGAAATCATGCATTTAAAAACCAAAAGAAAGGTTCAAAGTCACCAAAAACTGATGATATTTAATAGTATTTTTTTTACCTGGAGTTAAAACGGCACGAGCAGTTACCAAAGCCATGTTTTTCGCAGTAGGAGCAGGGACAGAGTTGAAACAAATGTACACGCGAGGCGCCACTACTTCTAATTACGTAATATAAATAGTAGGGGTGAAAGCGGCATTTTACAAATAGATGGATGGAAAAGCAAATGAGTAAATGTAAATTTTTTATAAAATTGGGCAGAAACACAATTCTCGAATGCAAACAATTGATGTAATAGAGTATTTTGAATATGAGCATCAGTGACCCGCATTTGTTGACGTGTCTATAGGGAGTAATTTCAACTCATCCTTAACAAGTCGTTAGTTATTGACATTTTTCGACCCGCTCTTTCGTTTGAGCCCAAAAAAACATTCATATCTTGTCTGACATCTTTGCTACAAACTCGGGTCTTCAACTCTGGCTTTCAATTGAAGGCCCGAGTTGTAGACCCGAGTTTGTAGCAGCTGGTACCACTGGCTCGAGGGAGCTCCAATCACAACGCTTCATCGCTCTCTCTCTCAAGAGACGTTTAAATTGACCGCGCTACCCCCACCCGATCGGTACTTGAGACGTTGCTGCTCGTTTGGGCTGCGTGCGCAGAAATTTCATCTTTCAGTACTTTTTTCGCCATTATTAATAAACAATGCTCCTAGGCGACCATCTTTTTCACTAAAAAAATCATTGATCACATGTTCTAAATGGGTCTAAAGTTTCATGACTTTGGCTGCTTTTTTTCCTTGGGTTTTGCTGTTTTTTTTCTGATTTCCAGAAGATCACGTGTTAATAATAAATTAACCATGTTTCCCAGCAGTCTGAAACTTTGCACACGCCTTTTCCATCATTTAAAGAATACGTAAAAAATAAAAGAGAAAAATGGCAGCTTTTTTTCGAACCCTCCGGGCTCGCCCGATTATCCTTAACTTCGGAGTGAAAGGTAGGTAAACCGTGATTACCCTAACTGAGACATCTAGTACTGGACCTGGAGCCATATTCTCGACGTTAGTGAATAGTCCTTCGTCCACGAATCGACATCGTTGACGAACTACGTATAGTAGTTGTATAGCACATTCGTTGACGATCGCCGATTCGTGCACGAAGGAGAATTCACCAACACCGAGAATAGGGCCCCTGAGAAGAGTGGTAAAGGAATGGGAGTTCAATGCATAACCTATAATTCCCGGTGGAACTCTTTCACCAGTCCCACTGTACATGGAGAATGAGAAGACACGGCACTGCCTCCACTCCAATAAGGCGGGCAAATAATTTGGAGTAGAGAATAAAATAGAATGGAATGTATTTAGAGGATGCTACCTGCAATAGAAATGGTCTACTTTTAACCATTATTTAAATGCATAACTATCGAATAGGAATCCCGAAAGAAAAAACCGACGGGAAATCCTTAATATAATATAATTGGATGCGTTTACGCAGGTTTTGGGTGTATGGGTTCTTTTTTGCCTAACCATGGTATCTTATGCGTAACGAACCAAAAATGAAAGAGAACGGATTCTCATTATTTGTAATACCCAAGACTCATCAACAGCGGGTTGTACATACACACCTACCGTTGTTCACCCCCCAGTGATGATGATAAACGTACATATAATATATCATAATAATTGAATAAATCGATTAGTAATTGCAATATTCTTTGAAGAACTATAGAATTTTTATTATTTGATGTCTAATGGCCTGGGTTGTTTTGGACGTGGGTATTGTAGCAGTTATACACCGTTAGAAGGCAACTATGAATCCCGGATATGATTATGCCAACACGTTTCCTCGGGTGTGTGTGTGTGTGGGGGGGGGGGGATAAATTTGTGTTAGTCGTCAGGGAAACTTCACTCGTGTCGTGAACACTTCAGACATTTTTTTGGTGGTTCGCTGCACGCTCATAATCCATTCTTTTATTTTATTTTTATTATTTATCAATTTGTAAGGAATCACAAGAGGAATGACAACAGAAATTGATAAGGAGGAGTTGAAAAAGCGGTTGACTCCATTGCAGTGGCACGTTACTCAGGAAAAGGGGACTGAGAGGTACGATATTCTCGATTTCAATAGTCACAAAAAGTATTTCACGTGGACGAGCATAAACATTAAGAGATGACAAACAATGGATCGAATGTAAACAAGTTCTTTTGAGGCTTGATCTCCTAGTGTCATTTTAGAACTATTGGTTTTTATTGCTTACAAGTTATGAGTGGCAAGAGGGTGGTTCATTCAATCACATTTGCAAAATGATTTGTCATTCTCCATATGTGGCTCGTTTGATTTTACAGAGTATGCTATTTCCAAGAATTAGTATGGCTTTACCCGCAGCTGAGAACGTATTACTGTAATGTTTAGTATCGTGGATGACACATGACAAAAATAACTTTTTCAAGAGCATGTGCCTATGACTTTTGGCCCCACGGCCAAAGTGGTTTAAAAATACACGAATATGAGTAGTGTTATACTTCCTCAATGTACATGAGCAGATCCAAGCTGAATCAGCAGGCTAAAAAAGTCGATGCTGGGCATTTTTGTTTTGACTTCATTAGACAAAAATTTTGCAAAAAGATGAAATAATTTTTCAATTAAGGGAATTATGATTTTTTAAAATTTCGAGTTTTTATCAATAATTTTTGTTCGTTCCAAATTGGCCTCAATATCTCAATGCACTTTCAAGCTATAAAATCGCCCTTTGGTACACTCAAAAAACACGAAAAACCCTTAAAAATGAGACGTTATGTATAGCATTATCTTCAGTTTGACGGGGTTTATACGAGGCAATGTTTTTTTTTCAATCGTTAATTACTCAAAAACTTATTTTTTTAAAGTGAAATTTTCATTAAAAGATGTCAATGAAATTACAAGAATTTTGGTGCCAATTAGTGTTTGTCTTTCGCTATGATACGGCGGTTATTATTGTTTTCAGTTAGACAAGTATTGAAAATGGCCGAAAGTGGCTATTATTCATACATTATAGTGTATATTCAATTAAATATTAACAAATGGTAGAGGTTTGGCTATGTCCTTTACTATTCATGTTCAGTATGATTTTTTGAGTGAAAAATTATTATTTCTCTAATTATATACTGAAAATAGATGAATAGTAAGAGATATAATGAGTCTTACCTTCATTTACTAATATTTAATTGAATATTCACTTATTGAGGGGATAATTGCCGACTTTTTCTACTGAATATTTTCTGTTGAACATTTCAATAGAATTGGCCAAAAACTAATAGAGCCGTTCAATAGAATTTCAATAGAATTTTCTAACGAATTCGATAGGTTTTTATATTAATTTTTTTCGTCCGTAAAAAACTCTATCATCGACTTTTTTGGCCTGCTGATTTTTGCGTTGGCGTGGATCTGCTTATATGTTTCTAACAAAATTGCATCATAATATCAGATTAATCCTGATTCGTTACTTTCAGGCCATACACTGGGGCCTATAACAAGTGCTATGAGAAGGGCACATACACCTGTGTAGTATGTGACCAGGAATTATTTTCCTCTGATACCAAATACGATAGCGGGTGTGGTTGGCCGGCATTCAATGAAGTTTTGGATCAGGGCCGAATCAAACTAACCAAAGATGTCTCACATGGTACGTGAAAATTTTTCACCTCTATTATTAACTTTGATTAGAGAAATTTTTTTATCATTTTTTCTTATCCAACGTATATTTTTAATTTGTTACGTTGCACCCTGAAAGTAAGCCGGTATGGTACTGTTCACTACCTAGAATATTGACAAATCTATGGATATTATGTTCAAAAATTCTGAATTGGATATGAGAAAAATTCTGGATATCTTACTGTATCGGTACTTGCTTACTTTCGATACGTTATAGTTTCAAAATACCCTTATTTTTGCTACATTTTAACCCCTCCTATACTTCCGATGTGCTGATTTCTGAAATTTAAAAATAGGTTTATATTTTGGTCAGATGCTCTAATATATTAGGAAATATACTGTCGAAGTCTCTGAGAGAGCATGATTAATATCATAATAATCAGTGATTGTCATAATTCAATAGAGAGCGGAAAACAGTACATAAAGTGTCCATTACCAAATTTCCTGCATGACTGCTTAGAGTGTGATTGTAGTGGACTTACATCATTTAAAAAAATGAGAACTAAAGCTGCTGTAAACACGGGCAACTTTGAAATTTCAATTATATTTTCATTGATTCCAATTCGTAGAGATGTTGCATTATTTTCTCGCCCTGCTACCAAACTAATTAATGTTAACCTTCAGTCCTCACGCTGGGTATGATTTTATCCCGGAAATGAGGTCCCCGACTAAATATGATAGATATTTTCTAATTCGAGGGTGTAGAATACGAATATGTTGGTTATTTTTCCATCCGGTTCGGCGAAAGTATTGTTATTAACAATTTAATTGTTTAAATTGCCATAACTCGCAATCTATGATTCCTATCGAAAAAATTTTCCAACAAAAAATATTTCTTTCATGAAAATGAACATGTTTCGTTTTATGAAATTTTCTCCTAACTATCATAGATAACAAGATATCGGGGGTGGGAACGAAACAGGCGACGCGGCAGCCCTTACACTGCGCGTCAGCGCACTAGAAAGCTATTCCATTCATCTTGGAATAGACCAATTCTGTCATAATAAACAAAGAATTGTGGGTTGTCTCCGCATCTGGCCCTGTCTTTCGCCTCGTCTTCTGGGAATTCCGCCAGAGCATTAATGGTATCATTTTTAATTGATGTTAATTTATTATAGTAGTTTATCGCTAATCGCAGAATAAAATTGTCAATACGAGGGATTTTAGCCTTGTCATATAAAACTTTATTGTTAACTTGATGATAATAATTGCTGTGAACCGATCTATACATAAATTGGCATGCTCTCAGACATTTTCTTTCGAAAACTCTGAGGCACTCCATTTGATAGGCGCCCATATTCCAGAGAATTTCTGTTGCATATGTAAGCAATAGTCTAAATATAATAGAAGCAGATAACAAATAACCCTAGCTCTTTTATTAATAAATTTATTATGAAATAGGAAGCCAAGCGATTTATAGCGCTTTCTGGCTTTTTCAATTTGTATATCAGTGTTTTGGGCATTTTGATAGATAGTCTATGTGAACTCCAAGATATTTTACTGTTTCTATTTTAGGGATGAATATTTCCTCATTGCTAACTGGGTCCTTAATTTTGATTTCAAAATTCTTAATAGTGGCTATTCTTTTACTAGAATAATAACTGAGCGTGTTTCGAAATAGAATTGATTCGATCTTCGTCGGATTAACTTTGAGATTCTATTTGGCGTACATTTCGATAACTTTATTTACGATTATATTTAATTTTTCTGAAATTTCATTTTCGGGTTTTCCAGCTAAATAAATGATTCAGTCATCCGCGTATGCTAAAGAGAAGGTATTATTATTACTATTAAGGTCGAAGGAGAGTTTATTGTTCCTTGCTGTAAACCTTCGGTAATTGAAAAGATTGAACTAAGTAAATTATTATGATTACTTGCCTAGAATTTTTTACTTTAATCTGCAAAACTGATCCTTCTTGTTGCTATGCAACAAAACATTCGGGAAATAGCCGATAATTTTGAAGGTCTTGGGGTATTGTAGCTGATAATTTTTTGAAAATGTTCTCTGGTAGTTGCTGTATAGAAAAATAAAAGATCATTCAATTGAATGAACCGTCAAAACTGACAGATTGATTTCGTCTCATGGTGCAATTCTCTTGCACGAAATCTGGATGGAAAAATTCTCTCCCGAATACAACTCGAGCTTCAAAATTAATTAGGTAGTTCCCTCAAGGTTCCCTGCACACAAACGAAGTTTTCAAGTTTTTAGCTTGAAAGAATTGACTCCTTCGTTTGTTTGCAACGAACCTATCGGGAAATACCCGATAATTGTGGAGCTCTCGTGGTATTACATTTGCATAACCATTTTTTCCTATCTCGTTCGAGGTCGCGACTGAATGCACTCCAGTGCGCTGACACGCAGTGTAAGGACTGCCGCACCGCCTGTTTCATTCCCACTCCCGATATCTTTTTATCTATGTTGGGAGAAAAATTCATAGAGCAAAAAATGTTCATTTTCATGAAAGAAATATTTTTTATTTGAAAATTTTTTCGATAGCATTAATAGATTTCGAGTTATGGCGATTTAAACAATTAAATTGTTAATAACAATGTGCTCGCCCAACCGGAAGGAAAAGTAACCAACATATTCGTGTTCTACACCCTCGAATTAGCATATGTCGATCATATTTAGCCGGGGACCTCTTTTTCGAGATAACACCATATAACTAGCATGCGGACTAAATGCGTTCTATATAGAAGAGTGACTTGCAGTTTTGTCAAATGTCAAAAGCATTGGAATCTTTGATTTAGGTTATTCTCTGCTCTGTTTGGTGAAGACTCAGAAAACTAAAATTATTTTATGTAAATTGATTAGTGAATTCGTTGAACGTAAATTTATCTCGTTCAGATAAAAAATAAGAATGGCAGCAATAAGGAAACGGTGTGGGTCTCAATTTAATCACACTCTATTGTTCTGTCTTTCCTCTTGCGTCCCTCACCCATCCATCATCGAATTGAAAAAAAAAAAACTGCGTCAATAAACGACGCGAAACAGTTGGTGGAAATCTACTATTGCTGATCGCAAACCCAGATATGGTGCGGACGGAGGTAACCTGTTCAAACTGCGGAGCACATTTGGGTCATGTATTCAATGATGGGCCAAAGCCAACGAGGAAGAGATTTTGTATCAATTCAGCATCAATATGTTTCCACGAGGCTGGAGAAGTGAAAAAGTCAAGCACTTAAGCTGTGAATTTTTTTTATACCGAAAAATATTATGTACGTAATGTAATTATTACACTTGCAGAATTTCGCACACTAATAATCTTCTACTGAAATTATTAAGCTGCTTACAAATGTCTAATATTACAATGAAGGTTTGAACGTTTGCCATAATATCATCGAATACTATAAATTTATTCATACGATATGTTAACGTCACTCTGGTGTAGCGATGCATATTCAGAAAGGCGAAGTTTTTCGACATGCTCAGTTTTATTAGAGAGCTGAAAATACGATATTTTCCTACAAATTATGAGCCTTCTTCTTGCACCACTTACTGCGTCGGTAAGCCGGTCGCGTTTCTCAGTAACCAAAAAAATTGGTGTGGCGTTTCTCAATTTTTGTTCAGTCGGTAAAACAAGTGACAGCTAACAATGGCGTTGTCACTCCGGAAACACTACAAACATTTTTTCGGTTATTGAGAAACGCGGCGAGCTTACTTGACACAGTGGTGCAAGTGGTGCAAGAAAAACGCTATAATATCATTTTATCCGCTAAATGGGGTAAATAATAGAGCAAATATAAAATCTGGTTTGGCAGCTAAACAGATATAGGTATCCCGACAAATAGCGAGGGTCACCTGTCAAACCAAATGTTTCATATTTGGTGAGGGCGTCGCTAAAAATACCTACTTCTCTCAATATGCAGGTATAGCCACTCTCTAGCCGCTTAAAAGTAGAGGAATTGTTGTATTTAACCCTTAGGTGGTCGCAGCTTTCCATCAAACGTAGTTGGTCGTACGGTAAGAGAATCCCCGCCCCATGTATTATACGATTTCGAGAAAAAAAAGCTGAACAAAAAAATTTATTCCACGTTCAGAGGTAATTTTGAACTTTCAATGAATAGGAAATGGCGGTATGGAAGCGAAATAGTTGTCAGATAATCCAAGAACTCAATTTGAAAAAGCGCAAAATTATGAACTTTTGAGGTTAAACATGGGGGATTTTCAGCGAGTCAGAAGATTTTAATAATTCATTGATGCAAGTCTGGACTGAAAAAAAGATGTTGATGTGTCCCATATATATGAAAGTAGGAGTACAAATTTTCATGGATTTTTCATTCACAAAGTTTTTGTGTGAAACGAAAAAATAAAAAAACTGCGGGGATTCCCTCATTATGCGAATACTTAAGGGTTAAGAGTTGTGGACTGTAAGTTCTCGTGGCAAATCAACTGAGGATATTGGTGAAACTGTAATGAAGGATATTTATTTTATTTTTACATCTGCCATGTAACGCTATGATATTATGTAAATAATAGATATGGAATAAATGATAATGGACAATAATGGTCATCGATCTCGTATAACGCCATAATTTTGTTGTATTACTGCTCTTCGTATCATCTTTTATATATATTATGTATTGTAACCAGAGATGTTATTGTATATTAAAATAGACGTTTTTTTAATCGTTATTTTACTACATCGCTTCGACCCGCTTAGGGTATACTGCGATAATGATCAAGACTTTAAATGGTTAGATCGCACTATTCTACCCGGCCGGGATTTGAACTTGGAACCTTTTGCATATGAGGCAAGGAACTTACCCACTGCGCCGAGCCACCGGGCTATTAAAATAGATGTAAAAATATAATTATCTGGAACTAAGATTATTTATAGGCCATGGCTAAAGGCACTAGGCGTGAAATATGCAGGCTCTGCGTATCACACGCAGGCTCTTTCGTATCCGTGCGTAGCACACGCAAAGCCTGCGTGTAATATGCGCAGAGCTTGCATGCACTACGCACGGCTTGTGTGTAATACGCAGGACCTGTGTGTAATACGCTCACCGTTCGGGAGAAATGTTTAGGAAAATTACCACTGAGAATCGGGAAAGGTAATTTGTACTCACGGTCACTACCAAAATATATTGAAGAACAGTGGCGCTCTGAACAGGTCTTCCACGGAAATAATTAATGAATTGGAACCTCCATTCCTTCTCTGAGTTCCTGGGTATGGCCAATCTCTCCAGGACACAACTTCAGCAAATTTTAATATGGAGCCTGTCGTTTCAACTGGGATATTTACAAGGACTTTAATTCAACGTAATAATTGGTGCACGATCACGTGCTAATGACGGGGACTACAGGGGCAAGTGTGTCTTCCTTTTCTCTCCATACTTATTTTGATAGAGGAAAGATGAGTGATCGTTGCTTCCATAACTCATGTTTTTCTTTGGCCGGCTATATTCCTCTTTTTCGAGGGCATCCGGGGCTGTTTAGCCTCTCTTTTCGAGACGGTTCGTCTTTGGGTACGGTTGCTCACTGAGTCAGGGGGCCTATTCTCGAAATATTTCCGTCCACGGAAGTGGCTTCGTAGACGAATTGCGTATAGGAATCATATAGGCGTTCCGTCAACGGAGTCGATTCCGCGCACGGAAATATTTCGAGAATAGGCCCCCTGCTTCGGGTTGAAGCGAGGAAACGGAATATCGGGGGAATCTAAGGTGACCAACAGTGGCGGATAATAATTAGGAGGCAATATTGTGTGGGGGGCTTCCTTCGTTGGGAAGTGTTTTTGACAAGGTCGGCACCTTGGTACATACGTGCGAATCGGTGAGCGGAGTTGATGAGTATTGGTGCAAGAATTTACTTAACCTGGACTTGTCAACTCTCTTTATCGCGTCACCGACGGGCGACAAAATTTAATTCGAGTAGAGAATATTTTCAGAAAATTTCCGGATATTCAAAAAAAGTCACATCGTCATTATATCGATAATTCTCGCATCTGGATGACTAGAGAAGTTATTCAACATTAATTTTTTTTATTGTTAATTCAACATTAATTATGGGCTAAATTGGGTTATTATGATGAGTTTAGCAGATATTCAAGTTTGTATGTAAATCGTTATTGTTGAAATATCTCACAAGCTACTTAACCGATTTCAATTTTTTCTTGAAATAATCGTCTCGATATCTTCTATCTCAATCAATCGGAATTTTACGCATACTGCATGAGTCCCACCCTCTCCAGTTAACACACACTCTCGAGGACGGAATTGATCAAATTTGGAAAAATCTACTTTGTCGAAAATTCTATTTTACAAAACGTTTTTAAACGTTTTTGGACATGTTGCCGGGTTCCATCAATTTTTACACAGAGAAAATCTGCTTCCCCTGGCATCATATGACTAATATTATCACAGCGATACAATGTTTGCACTAATTGTTCTATTGTATTACTTACGGAAGATGTGCGGGTCTTTTTCAGCAGACTGGCTCCAAACCCATGGTTTTGATGAGGCCAATAAGCTCGACGTGCTGTGTAAGAGGTCACGTTGAATGTTGCCTGAAGTTTAGCGATGGACCAGGATTTAGGAAGACATGTCAATAGATGAATTCTCTCTTTAGCAGATGTGACAGTTTGCAGTTTGTCCTTGATCTCCTCAACGATTTCATTCAATCAACAGAGATTCATTTCAATTAATCAACTTCGTGTAAGCGATTTTACATTTTTGGGGTTCCCTAAATTCTTTGTTCGCACAATTACTTGAGGGAAAATTGGGATAGGAATGTGACGTGAGAAAATAGTTTCTCCTGTAAATTGAAAAAGGGAATTGCTATTGATCCATTCGGAAGCTTACTACCAATGGAGTTGATGGAAATAAAAAATTAAAATACAAATGACACATAAAGTAACAGTCACATGCCTTCTGCAATACAGGAGCGGTCAACTGCTTGTTTATATGCTCCCGCGTCCGCGCGATCAGGAGTCCTTGGGAGTCCGCCCTGAGAAGGAATGTATTGCCTGGGATTTTTTATTTTCATAATAAAACGATTTTGTTTGTTATAAAATGTTTCCTTATATTGTAACGTTAAAGAAACTCAAATCTTACAATATAATATATACGCAAACTTCTAGGCAAATTTCTTTATACTTGACATAATAATTCATAATAAACCGCTGCCTCATACATTAGTTTTTCTCCTCACAATCACAATTCTTTGCCATGTTTAAACCGCTTACAAAATCATTACATTTCATGCGGAGCCAAGTTTCGGTCATTTATCATTCACCACTTACCACTGTTTTACATTTATTATTTTCATATTTGCGTGATGAATTCGAATTTAGGAAATGACAAAGAAGAAACTTTCATATTGTATCATGAAAATTGACTCTACAATTATAATATTTACTTCTTGTTTTACTAGGCCTGACTCTGCATATTGAGATCACAAAGCATTTTCAGAAACATCGTGAAGTATTCTTACTCTTGAGGCTTTTGCGGCCATGATTATTAATATCATAGACTTCCGGATGACACGTTTGGTTTCAGCGTTGCGCCGACGGTTTGCAAACATTGCAATCAGCATCTTCAGGGCTGTGAGCTCCGAGTCTGAAGGTGTAGACTGCAATGTTTGCGAAACGTCGGCGCAACCCTGGATGCAAACTCGGCATTCATCCGGAAGCCTATAATATCGTGAAGTATTTCCACGAGAACCAATGATTCTTCACTATTTATTATCAGCTTGATTTTGTTAGGAACCAATTATGCATTTTACAAATCAATGATACATGAAAAAATAATATCATTCCTACGTGAAAAATTAAATGCACTTGGAACGCGTTAGTCAAGAATTGGATGGGTGAGATTGAAAATATATCGCTGGAGTTGAAAACACATTCTCTCGTGGCGGAAGTAAATTAGTCTATATCAGGTTCTCCACTTCAAAAATGAAGGCCATGAATAATTGTAAAAACATTCAACATATTATCACTCTCATATCCTTAATATGGCAAAATTGGTTTCACATAATCTCCGGTTATTCATGAAAATGCAGAATCTCTCGTTTCGATTCCCAAAATGATTTCAATTACGGTAAAATGATTTAATAAATTTTTCTGCATACATTGTCCATTGTACTTTTACTAATACAAAAAATGTGCTCAATGAATAATCGTTCACTACAATCTCTTAATCCCGATTTTATAAATTTATGAATCAATGAAATTCATTCAGTGATAAATCATTTTAAAAAATTGATCCAAAAAGTTGTGACTGTTGTCTCTAATTTCACTGAATCATTACTGCGCATTCTCAATTCAAAATAGTATATTTCGATACGAGTGAAACATAATTTTCACAAGTGTGAAGTTAGCTGCCAATTACAGGAGCTGAAAAGTCCCGTCTCACATGTGTCGAACAATATTTTTTGACAGTGATATCACGTTCAGCGAGTGATGGAACTATGCCTTTTTCGTTTATAAGTGAACGACAAAATCTTTTCGTTTACTTTACTTTCGTTTACCAGTAAATGAAAAGGCACTGTTCGGTACGAAATGAACGTAGCAGCAGTATCAAAAATGTATAATTCATGTTTAGATTCCCTGATTCTCCAAAAATGTGCGATAATAATCGTAACAAACAACGTATGACGTTAATACTCAAGCTACAATTCGAGTCTAATAAAAAATTACCCTTCTGTTGAACGTTTCATGCTGTATTACATGACATTTAAATCATGCATATGGTACTCATAGAAAAATCATCAGATATTTATAATGCTGAAAACCGAGTCGTTCAAATACAATTATGTTCTCCTTTTTAATACGAAATAAAACGTGATAATAATTATATCTTTTATACTAATATAAGTATATTATCGTCCTTATTCGCATAACTGTCGAATTCTCACATTCGTAATTCCATTCATATATAAATGAAAAAATTTCCTCCGTTCTGTACATGAATGCGAAAGAAAAAAAACAGTAGAAATGTCATGAGGCGAATCTTAGGTAAAAACTTCGATTGAAACGATATATATATATATATATAAAACAATAGCCTATTTCTAACCTAGGGAGGTAAAATAAAGGAGTCGTGTTCACGAGCGGAATGACCACCGGAGCCGAAGGCGAGGATGCTAAGCAGGTGGGTGAGGGTCCTTTAGTATATCTCCCGTGATTAAAACCGTATTCTTCGCCTCGGCGAAGGCGCAGTCAGATTTGGAAATTTAACTTTGCGCCCACTGGGGCGGAAAGAAGGTTTTTCCTTGCATAGAAGTCACATTTCCCGAAGTATAATACAATTATAAAAGTCAGACTACATACCAATTACATACATCATTGGAATGCCGCAATGATGCGATCTACGTGGTTCAATCCTTTTTTCTTGTCTTGCTTACTGCGGTAGTAAACAGTCCATTTTTCTTGACAGCTACTTATTTTCCGACGGGTTTCCTGGCAGTATTGACCATGGCAGGAAAAAAGTTGAGTCAGAGCCTAAATGTCCACATCCACTTGAGCACACGCATTTTCCCCACAAGCGGGCAACGCACCGCTTTGAAGTCCACACGCAACAATGTGCGCAGCAACTTTGTCTACTTTCAGTTATCCACATGAAAGATTCGCACATTATTGAAAGTACACATGCTTGATTGCCAGCCTTCGTAAGTACACAAGAAAATTCGCGTAATTGAATTGTGAACTTGCATTAAGTCTGCACAAAAGTATTGCACACATACTACGGTCAACCTTTGAAAATTGCACTGAGAGAAAAATCTGAAGTTCGATTTACAATAAGAAAATAGTTGAGGCAGTTTTGGTGAACGATACGATTTTCTTTGTATGCGGCACATAACATTATAGTAACTTCACAAGCGTAATTTTGCAAATCAAAATGCAGTTAAACTAACCAAAGTTCGAAAGTAACCACGACAAATCTATCGTGAGTAGAACTATAGAATAGTTGCAATGACTACATTCCATTGCAGTAATTACTTCTCCAGCCATAGTTACCGTAATCCATGAAAAATTGTTGAAAACTTTTTGACTATAATTCGATGGTGATAGAATATAGTCAGAAGAATTATATTTTTCTCTCAGTGCGTACCTGCATGTAATTCTACAGAACTTTTTAACACATGGAAATTGATACACTCGCCAAGTGCACAGTCATATTCTCCACATTAAAGAATAAGTACTCATATCTACAGATAACCCGTTTCAAATCCCTCAATCTGTAGTTTCAACAACAACACACCAAAAACTTGTGGAATTTCATGAAAAATTGAATTCCTTACGTCGTAGATGTGCAGTTCCATAAAAAAAATAACACATCATTCTGTTGTTCAATCTGTACAATTTAAAATGCGCAATGTGTACATATGATTACTTCTATTCTATAATGTAGAGGATATGATTGTGCACTTAATGAGCGTGTCAATTTCCATGTATTGAAAATTTGAAAATGTTGACAATAGTATGTGTGCAATTCTTCTGCGTGGACTTAAGGCAAGTGCACAATCCAATAGTGTAAATTTTTTTGTGTATTTAAGGAGTGTGGTAATCGAGCGTATGTACAGTCGAACACTAAAGTTTGTGAACAGAATACATAGGATACAAGGTCAGGTTGTTCACGAACTTAAGTGCTCGATTGTACTCTCAGTGATGTTCCAATCTTTCATGTTGACAACTGAAGATGGACAAAGTTGCTGCGCATATTGCTGCGGGTGGATTTTAAAGCGGTACTCGGTCCTGTTCTAGAGACAATGCGTGTGCTCAAGTGGATGTGGACATTTAGTCTCTGACCCAACTTTTTTCTTGCGGTCAATACAGCTGGGTTTCTTGTTCAATCTGTAAAACAAGTGACAGCTGCCAATCGTGTTGTCATTTGTTTTATCGAATGAACAAGAACCTAACAAACACGTCAAAAAAACAAGTCACTGTCAAGAAACATGGGTTACTTATTCCCGGAATAAGCACGCTAAAAAAAAGCTATAAGATCTGACGGTCTTAAATCGTAGTACATTTTGTCACTGAGCCGAAATAAAAAATTCTGCTGGATATGAATTGGCCGTACGGGACGGGCAATGCTGCGCCCATACGAGACGGACAAATATATTTCTGATCAGGCGTGGTAAAATACAAGATCCATGTTCGCGTGCGGAAATCGGACACCTGGCCTATGATTGAAATCATTATTTCGAGACAAGTGCGACAGGTTTTTCACGGCTGTGAAGTTGGAGGACCGAGACGAAGTCCAGGGCTACCAATCATACGAGCCGAAAAATTACCGTTGCCCATGTGTTGAACGATATTTTTTTGTCAATAGTGTAACGTTCAACGAGTGGCGAACGGTGCCTTTTTCCGTTTATAAGCGAATGAAAAGGCACTTTTCGGCAAGGGGTAAACGTACCAGCAGCGACAAAATAGTACATTATGCCATTAGGCTATAAAAGTATTATCTGACGAAAGTAAGTTTACATATAATCACGTAAGAGAAGCGAAGTTAGCATTGCAGTTTATCGGACCTATATAGTGTCAGGAAAGTGGCTTTGGACGTGTGATTTTACATATATGACATTTTTCTGCGCGTGGCTAACCTCAAGTTATTCAACGTCTAATTTCTCAGATTCTTGTTTAGTTGCTAATACAAGTAAAGACTGAATAGGAACCTGAATAAAAACACATTGAATAATCTGAAGCTAGCCATGCCAAGAAAATTCTCGTCACAAGGTCAAAATAATATATTACGATATGAGTGAGACGGAATTTTCATGAGTGTGAAGTTGGCGGCCCGAGACGAAACCGAGAGCTACTAATCATACGAGCTGAAAATTCCCGTCTCACATGTGTCGAGCAATATTTTTTCTCAGTGATGTTACGTTCAGCGAGTGGCCAAACTGTACCTTTTTCGTTAGCAAGTAAACGAAAAGTACTTTCCGTACGAGGTGAACGTGGCAGCAGTCAAAAAAAGTTTTCTGACAAGTGTGAGGTTTACAGACCGACGCGAAGCCGAGGAATGCAATCACACGAATCAGAAAAGTTGTTTTTGGTCAAGTCACGAACATAATTTTTCTTCACATTATCCGTAAGCAGCGTTTGACGGACAAAAAGTGTCTGTAAAACGACGTTTTATGGGCAGTGTGATAAAAATGCCAATAGTATATTGAAAACGGTGGTTTACGTACAATGTGATAAAGTAATGTCTAAGTACGCGAACTAAGATGAAGGTAAAAGTGAAAATAAAAAAGTGTAATCCATACAGAGACATATCTGTGTAATCGATTAGATTGAAAAATTAGACGGAATTAGCAAAAAATGTTGCAATGTGATTGGTTGTGAGACACGTATGTGTCTCCACATGGGTTACATTCCATGTACATTTTTCCTTACCCGTGTACTTAACTCCCTGGTCCTTTGGCTGAGGGAAGGAGGTAATTCGGCACGCGAGCGTGTCAACTTTATTTCACATCCTTTTAAATTAGAAATATACTATTTCGGCTGAGTGACGAACGACATTCATTACGCCGTACATGAAACACTTCTTCGTGGGCAGAGTAATGAAGACGTCTTTTTAAACTGTTTATGAACGATACTCCATGATCCCTGAGGGATTACACCACAAATTTCTTCATCGTTATTACATTTTGGTGTTTTTTTTTTCGTTACAACGACACGTGTCTCTAAACATGACAGGACGTACAGGCACTTTAAAGTGTCAACACAATCGTTCCTACGTCCTCAGCCTTGTCTTAAAATTTCTTAGATCATTTTTTTCTGTTCCTTTCTCAATTAGCATCGCGAGATGAATAAATGTAAAATCGTACTTCAACAAAGATTGCCATTTACTTCTCGTTTCTCCCGAATTTTCCTATGCATGATATAAAATTTGAATAAATTTATCTAAGCAATTTGAGAAAAGTCAAGCAAATAATTTGTTTGTAATTGCCCAGATTTATGTGATGAATTGATTAATGACCAATAATGCACATTTTTTACTGTCAAACTATCATCATTTGTTTGATGTCTGATATTTATTGGCCACCGAATTTATTCATTTGTAGAAACTCATACGTACTTTGCTTTATTTTTTTATTGGGAAACGAGAAAAGGGGATAGCGAATTTATATTTTTCAATAATTGTTGATAATGAATCAAAAAATTTTCTAGAAAATGTTGGGCCATTGTGCCATATATTATCGATCAGTCAACAAAACAAGTAAACTGCTAAAATCGTCCAAGATCCACATAACTTCCGGTATAAAGAGTAACTTTAATAATTAATTGAATACTGAAAATAACGTAACAACGGTTCAACACTTTCCAATAATCTTCCAAACTCATTATTAATGATTTTTTGAAAATTTTAGTTCACTACGACCCTTTCTTTGTTTTTTAAAAACCAATTGAGAAAGCCTCTTGAGGGGAGACTATTAAGTACCAAAAGTTCTCCAATTGAAAAATGAGTAAATATACTTGGAAGAATGTTAAATGAAAGCCGGAAAAGCATTAAATAGATCCTGACGGATATTGTCAAAGACCAATGATGAAGCTGATTTCCAACTTAAGTACATTTAATAATTGAACTCGATGTTCAGAGCATTAATATCAATGACAGTAAAGATCCACTTTTCAATCAGAATATCACCCGTTTTATATCACACAAAAATCGAAAATTTTAGGAACGAATAATCGTCCGATTGGAAAACAAATCCTTACTTTTATTCCTATCAGTGTAGGCAACATTGTACTCAATTTTCAGCGCAACCCATCACATGTTACTTACGTAGAACTTTTCTAAAGTCGAAAATCGGTTCTCATTGTTATTTGCACTTGCCCGCCATATCTGTACCTCTCCAATAGATCATTGAACATTGTTTTCCAAAAATATACATTAGTAAGAAGACCCTATTATTCTTCAATTGTATAACTTTCAACTCAACAGTCTCTTTCCCCATATGTCAGCTGAGTTATCATTAACTGTTATTTCTTTTAAAATGTTGCACCCTCAATGATAGTTTAATTTATTTGATATTTTTTGTTCAAGATCAGTGAAATTTTAAAACCCTCGTTGAAATACTCATGAAGGCTGCTTGCAAATCTACAATGACCGATAAAAAATAATTAAACATTCTCATATTCTCTATCTTTATCAGTTTTCCTTTTTAATTTAATTTTTATATTTCAAAAAATATAAGTCTGACGTGAAGACCAATCTTGTATTCGTTTAATCATTATTTTTCTCCTTCACTATATTCTTTGATGAAATAATATTATTAGAATAGGTATTTCCTAATTAATCATCCATATCTGCTTATGTCATTATCTAACTGCGTTTTTGCAGTAGGTAATGTTGCTGTTTTCTTTCCCTTTGTCAACAGTTCGCTAATTTTTTGTCAACTTGAGTCAGTAATACTAATTTATCGTTTGTAGAAAATAACTGGCGTTGGATTGAACAAACACCAGAAGTTTTCATTCGTTCTACAAAAAGAAATGAATTACTGGTGAATGTTTCATCCCATAATATGCCAGATCATTCTTCATTTCATAGGTTTCAACATTGAATTTTCACTGTATAGAAAATCGATTGCATCGTGAATCGTGAAATAATGAATCGATACTTACTCGGTATCGAACAAGTTTAAACTAACTACTACCTATACATATACTATTTATACTTATTAACTGTTATATATTATTAAATTATTGTGCCGTTACCATTCCGGGAGGGTTGATATCCATATATCTTTTCAATACTTTGTGTTTTTTTTTCATGCCATTTTTCAGGGTTAAAAGTTCATGTGAAATCTTTAGTGTCCCTTAGCTGCCTCTTTAGCTGCCATTATCAATGGTGTAAGAGAAGCTAATGGCTTTGAAAATTTCAGGAAAGGATGCTGTAATGCAAAAAGTACATAATTTACTTCGGAAGAGTTATCATTGGGATTTTTGAAGACTTCGATTCTCAATATCCAATCACTTCATGTCAAATTACTCAAGTCATTAGTTGTGGATAAAGATATCCAAAACTTAACAAAACAAAAGGTGCATACCTTTAATAATTCAAAAGCTCCTGAGCGCTTTTCGACTTCAACCTCCAGACACTGGTCCAAGAAATCCTGAAAAATTGGAGAAAGCTTCTCTTTCTCTTTGATTTCTGGTTTTCCATTCGTTGCGATCAGATATAATGCTCGAAGGGGATTTTCGTTCAGATAAGGAGGTTCGCCCTCGATCATTTCGATTGCCATGATACCCAGTGACCAAATATCCACCTGGTTGAATCAATTATTTCAGTTATGGAAATTTTTTTTAGAATCGTAGCATCAAGTGGGTGAAAATTTAGAAATTTTCATGGACTGGTGGAATAAGGATACTGTTCTAGTAATTTTCCTCCCTTATTGAAGTACAAGAGTGTTTTGAAATGATTCGTTCCCTTGAAATTCTACTTTGCACATTTGAAAGTATTGCCAATTGAAAAAGATTCATTGTGCATTCTCCTAAAATTTTACTCAGGGAAAAAAAACGTAATCAAATCATGAATGTGATGAGTTGAAATGAACGTGATTAACTCCCTAGTTTTTATTAATACATTTATAAGTGTATGTTTTGCTTTTAGATAGATTCCAGACGGGTGATTGAGACTGAAGTGAAAACATTCTACGAAATTGATCGAATGATTGATGAGAATTAAGAAGAAAACTCATGGTGATTTATAAATTATTTCGTCCACTTTTACAGTGCCGCAAAATAATGAAATGCTCACGTTTTAATGAATTTCATCCGTAATAACAGTTAGGGATGGGCAATGTTTCTCGATTAATCGAAAACATCGATTTTTCATGCCTAAACATCGATGTTTTTAATTCGATGTTTTCCACGGCCGATCAATCAATTTTTTTTTTTTCCAAACACATGTTTCTGACCGAGCTAACAAAATTTTTCATTTTTTTCCGAACAATAATGTGGATTGATCGAGAATAAACACGATAATAACTTATCCGCAATCAGAAGTAATTATTTTTCCGTACTGCTGTTCACTTTTCCTCGTCCGGGGATTGGTATTCGCCCTTCCCCAAACTCGTAGAAGTGAAAATCACAACGGAAAAATATCTTTCGCAAATACTGCCACGGGGTTTTTTTACTCACGTGGTTGGCCAGTCCTCGCCTTCGGCTCGGATGCCAACTCCACGCGAGTAAAAAACCCCATGGCACTTGTCCTGAAATATACTACTTTACAGTATGTATGTTATAAATGATAAGTGAACAGGTTCAGTCGTCTATTGTTTTCTAAATTTAATTTTTTTGATTTTTTTAAAATCCTATGTAATGAGAAAAAAATCGAATTTTTATCCCTAGTGAACAGTGCGATTGACCAGCTAGTGTATTAAAGTAACATTTTTAATTTTTTTTTTTGGAGATGTAGAGGATGAGAAAAACATTAATAAAATAATTCTTACTTTCGGTCCGTATTGTTTTCTCGTAACAACTTCCGGCGCCATCCAGTACGGTGTACCCACCATTGTAGTTCTTTTACTCTGCTCTGGTGATATTTGTGCGCAAAACCCAAAATCGGTTAATTTAACACCACCATCCAATCCAAGTAATATATTATCAGACTTAATATCCCTATGTATAACTTGATTACAGTGCAAAAATTCAAGTGCCTGTAACACTTCACGGCATACAGCTGCTATTTGCCCCTCATCCATACACGTTTCAGTCACAACATCTGTTAAACTACCACCAGGAAGATACTCCATAACTACCCAAAGCTCCTCACCAACGAGATAACTGTCAAGGTAATTAACGACGTTTGGATGTTTATTCTCCCGCATAACTAGAATCTCGTTTATAATCAGTTCCTTCTTTGGCTGTTGCGAAAGATTCATTTGTTTTATTGCCACTTCCATTCCCGTTGAGGTTTCAATTGCTGTGTAGACCGTACCGGAAGCTCTAGAATCAATTTTTATTCAGTTAAAAAGTTACACATAAAATGAGTATTCAAATCAGTATTGAATTAGTAAAAGAACACTAGTGTCAACGAGTTCGTAGATTCTTGTCCACAAGTCCCCAGTAGGAAAAGTCGACAAGACACTTATCGGACAGCTTTTTCGTACTAAGTTTGATTAATAAACAAAAAGATTTCTCAGCATTTCCTTTGTAATATGACGCATCTCCAACATAATGCCAGAATTGACAATGATTCGATATTTTATCTTTCATATAAATTCGTTTCAGTCATTGTCATTTTTGGGTAAGCAGTGATATTGGAAAATGATGATTAAAAGGTCATGCACAAGATAGGGGTCTCTTAATACCATTCCCTGAATCTCGGTTTCAGAGCGATATACGAAATAGTGTGTATGAAATTTTGAGTATGTTTCTGCTCATCAACTTTTTACAAAAATTATAGAGGAATAATTACCCCTGCCCAATCTTCTCCATCTTATTGTACTTTCTGTTTGGATCACCGACACTAACTATTGTCCTGAGTTTTTCCAATATCTCATCGTCGGACATTTTTTTCTTACGAGCCCTATCACTCTGAGCTGGCCTCGACTGATCAGTCGCGGTTGGTGTTGGACTCGCCTGATTTTTATTTCTATCAAGTGATTGATGCTGCGGTTGAGGAGTCCCATTTCGTTGAGGTGAACCCAGAGAGGTGGGGACCGGCGGTGACGACGGTTCTTCCTCGATTGGTTTTGTGTACTTTTGCATGCATAAGACAAACAGACTCAATTATGAATTTTTCCGATTTACTTATTGGAAAGTAATATGAAGATTAAAAAAGAATACGTACGATTGATTTCGTGCGCTCAGGTCTTGCTGAGATTGGTGGAGGTGGTGGATCATCTTCCTGTTCGGAGCTGGTTGCACATGCGTCTGTTGGTGTACTACTCGGACTACTACTGCTAACTCTGTAATCCATTATTGAGCGTAATGAGCGTTCAGAACGGGACAATTCCCACATAATATTGAATATCACTACATTTTCATTAATTATGGCCTCATTTCAGAAACGAGTAATTCTGAAATAGAATATTGTTTCCGGTTATAATTTTTCGCAATTTTAACGTGGCTCGAACGTAGCTATCTATTGGGTGTATGACTTAATTTTTACAGATTTTTCAGCAAATTTATTTAATAGAAAAAATATAGAAGAACGAACTTAATCTTGGAAATATTGTCCATCGTTTTCTATGACCTTGTGCCATCTCTCAGGTAACATACGAATGCCGTCGCGAAAGAAACTTGCAGGCTTCGAGGCGATCATCGGCGAATTTACGTACATCTTCCAGCGTTTTGAAATGTTTATCCACTAAGGCAGCATCATTGACCGGAACAAGTGATAGTCGGATGGGGCCAAGTCTGGTGAATGTGCCGCGTGCGGGAGAACTTCCCATCCCAAGTTTAAGAGGGTCTTCTGAGTCGCGCGAACAACGTGAGGTTGAGCATTGTCATGCAGCAGTATGACTTCCCTGCTTTCTTGCTCAGTAAATGGCCTTTTCCGATCAAGTTCTTCGCTCAGTTTGTTCAATTGTCGGCTGTAGCGTTCTGCAGTCACCGTCTGACCAGTTTCCAGGAGTTCGTAATAAAACACACCCTTCATGTCCCACCAGATACACAGGAGAATCTTCTCTAAGTGAATGTTTCGTTTCGGCGTCGATGTACTGGGTTGCCCGGGATCTACCCACGACTTTTTACGTTTGGGATTCTCGTAAAAGATATACTTTTCATTGCCCGTCACAATTTTTCACAAGAACTCCTTTTTTTTATTGCCGGGCAAGCAGTGGGATCATGCAGCAACATGTGGGATCCACCTTCCAAGTTTTTGGATTTTTCCCATTTGGCGCGAACGCTTGGAAATAGCTGTTTGGGTGACTCCTAATCGAGCTGTAAACTCTTGTTGCGTTTGCATTGAGTCTTCTTCCAGTAGAGCTTGCAATTCCGCATCTTCAAACTTTCGAGGCTGTCCAGGGCGCGACTAGTGATTAAGATCGAAATCACCACTTCTAAAATGTTTGAACCAATAATTACCCGTTTCATAAGACAATGTTGGCACCAAGAACACTACATATTGATTCCCGTGCTTTAGAAGCATTTTTTCCTTGTTAGAATTCGTATAAAATGCAGTACCGAATGTGCTGTTGATCAGTTGCCATCGTAAACTCTGCTATTCTCAGAGATTATGTCACTCACGCAGATTTGTCGTCCGGTGTTCTGAAACCGTTTTTCCGTTCCTTTCAAAACCACAAAAGCTAAAATATTCCTATTTCAAATATAATTTTAAACTCGAAGAAATCTGTAAAAATGAAGTCCTACACCTAATATACTGAAAAAAGTGGTATTTTTTTTAGACATCCTCGCGCTCTGACGAGCGAACCAAAAAATATGATCTGACTTGAGTTGGCTTGACAGTTTACGGCACCCAAACGGAGAGAAAAATTTCTAAAAAATTAGTGTACCTTCTCACCAACGCATGGGACGTACCGAATGGGGTGCAAGAAAGTAGAAAGAGATACTGAAAAAGTGGTATCGTGTACTGGAAAATTCATTTCTGTCATTCCGGCCGTAAGGCAGCGTTTCACGGACTTACTCCTTTTCTCCACTATTGAATTTCAAAATTAACAGTTTCACAATATTTTCATACAGAAAAAACAACAAAAATATAAAGAAAATGAAGATTTTTCAATAATCATAATGATAATACTAATTTCAATAAAAATATGTGAATTTATACTATTTTTTATACTTACTATTATTTATACTAATTTATACCCAGAGTGCGGGAAGATTTACATGTGCTACCGTACCAGACCCCATAATTAATCGAATTTTTAATAAAGTAAACTAATCTGAATACAATAAGCAAAATAACTCAAAACTAAATACTATGACCATTTCTTAACTTTCTAATTTTTTTTTCGAACAGCTGATCATTCAGATGATTATTCAAGGCTCTTGGCGCCTCCCACGGATCGGTTCTCCGGGATCCATTTATCAAATTTTTCTAAACTCCCATAATCCTCGAAACAGCCTGGCCATTCGGTAGAAACAAGGGCTGTACTTGGTCCACACTACCTTCCACCGAAATTCCAAAACGTACCCAATTAATTCCCGTAAAATTCGACTTAATAGGGAGCGCTAATATTTCAATTAGACCTAATCGATTTCCCCTAAGATTAACAGTAGGGTAAACCCCATAAAAATTACCGGATGACTCTAAAATAACTTTTGAAAAAAAAAAAATTATTTTTCCTCACGTTTTCGCATATCTTAGGGGTCTTTCTACAACATACTCAATTTATATCAAAATCTAAAAAAATATATTTTTTGTTCATTGAAATAGTGTGGAATGCCTCCTAATCAATACATGCACCTACCTTTTTATTATAAATTGAATCCCCCTTTCTGTTGACGGAAGAAGGGGGACGAGAATTTCCTAGAATTTTAATAGAATCCCCATACAATTTCTAGAGAATTTGAAGATGATGTTCTAGCGAATTCGCTAAAGTTCTCTATCAAATTTTTTCATACGTGTAATCGCGGAAGTTGGCTGCTTATGTCATACAACATGGCTGCCGTGAACTGTCAAATCAACTCAAAAGTAAAAAATATTTCCCGGATAATTTCTGGGGCCGGGCAGCATACAAAACACTCTGAACCGCAGCCTGTGGGAAAACAATTTTTTTCAACGTAAGTTTCATCCAATTTTTACCACTCATTTGCCCAGAGATTGGGAGCAAAGTTTCAACCACCTTTATATATATACGTCCGTGGGATCTTAAATTTTATATTTCATATCGAGCGAAGCGGGGTCAGAATTACGGTTTTCGGGTCCAAGGACATAAAATATTGTGTCACACGGCGATAAAAGTATTATCTAACTCAAGTGATTATAATCCTCACCTTCGGCTCAGATTATAACGTCACATTCGTCAGATAATTTCGCAAACATTGCAGTCTGCAACTTCGGGGCTATGAGCTCCGATGTCTGAGAGGGTGAAGGGGGAGGGGGTTAGTCAATCATTTTTAATTGATCAGCTGGTCAATTAAAAATCTGGGAGGACGGTTTTCCAAATGGGGTTCACTTGATATCCTCTGTCCCTGTTGAGGTTTTTAGGGTTTTTATATATCTCCAAGCCCTTTCGATATTTTCTTTCGAAATACCGTTGAGATTTGGGCAACATTTTTGTTTGATTATACTGGATAGTAACTCCAAAGTCCATCCAGTGTTCAGCCAGGGTAGACCGTCCTATGCGACCGTATTTGGAACACCGCTGGTGTTCCTTGATCCGTATACTGATCTTCCTCCTAGTTTCTCCAATGTACACTTTTCCGTATGAGCAGGGAATCTCATACACTCCTGGCGTGATCTGGGATGGTTTTGGATCCTTTGCACTCGGCAGCATCTGACCAATCTTCTTTGGGGGTTGAAAAATCGTTCGGATATTGTGTTTACCTAGTACTTTACTTGTGCGGTCCGTTGTGCCTTTCAGAGGGGAGGAGGGCCACTTCAAGTCTTTTCTGGTTTTCCTCAGGGTTAGTGTCCTCTTGCGGAGATGAGAGTGTGCTGTGTAGCTTCTGTTCGATCTTTTTAATTTGTTGGGTGCTATATCCATTCTTCGCCAGATCTGTCTCAAGATGTTCAACTTCACTGTTAATTTTGGAGTGTTGAGAGATTGCGAGTGGTCCGTACATTAGGGAGCAAATGACAGAGTTTTTCTGGGAGGG